AAGAGTCGAGCCCTAACTCAAAATAAATAAATAAATAAACAAAACCAAAAAATTAATTTTATTATATAACAATCTCAGTCAATTATAAAATATATGTATATAATATATATTAAAAAAAACTATATACTATAAAAAATATTTATATTCAAAAAAAAAAATGAATAAATAATTAAACACGTATTATCATAATTCGTGTTTTACGAAACACGTATTATCAGAATTCATGTTTATTTTAATATAAAAAAAGGATAAATAATTAAACACGTATTATCATAATTCGTGTTTTACGAAACACGTATTATCAGAATTCGTGTTCCGTTTAATTAATTAGCTTAATTACGAGATTAAGTGAACGCGTATTTTGGTAATCCGTGTTCCGTGCATAATTAAAAGAACACGGATTTGTGGAATCCGTGTTCGTAGTAAAATTACACATACACGTATTTTCAAAATACGTGTTCCGTTAAAACACGGATTGTGAGAATCCGTCCGTTTTATTTTTGTCCACAATTTTTTTTTTTGTTTTATTTTAGTCCACTTATTTTTTATTTTTTTAAAATAAATAAATGATTCGCTTTTTCATAATCATCAAGCTTAATCTTTGCCCTAATTTCTTTTTTCCCCCAAATTTTGGCCACAAGATGACTTTCAATCATTAGCAGTTGGATCAGAAATGGCTTCAATTTACACTCTACGCGTCTACAAGTCGCCTTCTCTCCCTGTAAGTTGTTAAACCGTCAGCTGTACCACAAACCAACCGGTTTCCAGGTACCATTTTTTCTTTAGAGGCTCACTCATTTCTTGCAGCTTGCAATGCAGATACGAGGTGTTTCCTATGAACTTCAGTTTCGGTCGGTATCGAGAACAGATTTCAATTGTGCGAACCGTAATCGCGGAGTGAGGTTCAGAAAATTGGTGGCCGGAGCAGTTGATTCCGGCGCGAACAGGAACGACGTCGTTGTTGTGAAGCTGGAGAGAGACAATGCTAAAAAGCCTCTGGAAAATGTAGTTGCCAAGTTGCGAGAGTCTGTTGGCACTCTTCCTGTGTTGGTGTCATCGGTAATTTTGCTGCCCGCCTAAGCTTCATCTTGTTTTTTTTATGCCTGAGCCAGTCTAGTGCTCGAAAGTGGGGGTTTATGAATATGAATTTTAGAGGATGGGAGTGTAAAGTTCACAATTTTATTGAATATCCACAAGCACAGACTATATTAGTTGTTGCATTTGGGAATAATATTTGGTCACAAGAATTTGTGAGGCAGACGTTAGCTGGGTCGACCCGTCATCCTATTCTTAACCAAAAATGCATATTTATTTATGCAATGAAATGTCATACTTTTGTTTATGTTTTTTTGTGAAATATGACAATTGTGAAAGTATGCATATCTGTTGTTGAAAAAGTATATAAATTGCTTAACCGGTAGGCCTTAGCAGCTTTATTCTTATTTAATTTAAATACAAGAAAAGGAAAAGAAGTGCAGCGGTTTGAGATGGAAAACCCTCTTAGTGATGTCTTTTCTATTCGTGTTTAGTGTCGTGAACTAATGATAGTCCCTCTCGTGGTATGTTAAGTGTCGTGGTTTGCTTTCAGAACTGAGACTAGGTTGTTGAACAATTGAGGTTCGTGTAGTTTGACCATATTATTATTTTAACAGTTTAGCATTATATGTCATATCTGTGCTTGGTTCTCCATCATTTTGAGCTAAGTGCCAGTGTTGACTCTTTCTTTCTTATTCGTTGCTCTTTTTATCTATTTATTTTCATTTTCCCCCTTATTTTTTATTGTCTTGATGGTACAATTGGCATTTGTTGAGCATGCCTGCGGCATTTCTTCAAGTGTATCTTTTTGCTGTGTTTATATTTCGTTGGCCCATAAGAGTTTTTTTTTTTT